GTGTGAGGACAGAAAATTCTCCATTTTATTTAGATTTTTGAGTTTGTTTCCATACAAGTGTGCTGGTAATCTTTGATAATCTTTTATAGTTCTTCATGGTCAGTTGTGACTTGATCTTTTGCATTTCTAATTGTGTTTACTAGGGCTTTTTCTATGTTTTTCTTGGTCAGTCTGGTTAGTGATCTATCAATCTTGTTTATTCTCTCAAAGAACCAGCTTTTTTTTTTCATTGATTTTTTTACAAAAATAATATTTTTGTCTCCTATGTCCTATATTTGAGTTTTCACTTTGGTGATCTGGATTATTCTGCTGAAATCAGGGTTTTGGTGGTCTTGCCTTTCCAGCTTCTTTAGATGATTTGTTAGGCCATTAACTCGTGATATTTATATTTTCTTGCTGTGCGTGTATGTGTTTATGTAGAGTTATAAATTCCCCTCTTAGCCTTGATTTCATGGCATCCCAGAGGTTTTGGTAAGATATGTCCTTTTTTCATTTGTTTCCAAGAATCTTTTAATTTTTGTTTTGATTTCTGTGTTGACTCAGTTATTCAGAATCATTCTGTGTAGTGTTCATGTCTTTGTATATTTTGGGTGGATCTTGTTAGTGGTAATATTTATTTTTATTCCACTGTGATCTGAGAAGGTGTATGGCAGTATTTCGGTCTTATGAAATTTGTTTATGCTTAAGCATGTGGCTGATCTTAGAGTATGTTCTATGTGGTGATGAGTAGAATGTGTATTCCATGGTTGTTGGGTGGAGTTTTCTGTAGGTATCTGTTAAGTCCATTTCATCAAGCTTCAAGTTGAGGTTCCAGAGCACCTTGTTGTTGTTTTTTTTCTTGATGATCTGTCTAGAGTTGTTAGTGGGGTATTTAGTGTCCAGCTATGATAGTGTTAGAGTCAATATCTTTTTTTTTAAGTTTACTTAGCAGTTGCTTTATAAAATCTGGTGCTCCAGTGTTGGCTGCATATATGTTTAGAATGGGTATTTCTTGTTGATGGATTTAACCTTTTACCATTATGTAGTGTTCTTCTATCTCTTTTATGATTTATGATAGCTTGAAGGCTGTTTTGTCTAACATTAAAATTGTGATTACTGCCTTTTTTGTTTCCCATTTACCTGAATGTTTATTTTCCATCCTATAACTTTAAGTCTATGGGTGTTCTTTGTAATGAAATGTGTATCCTGGAGGCAGCGTATTGTTGGATTGTGCTTTTTTTAGAATCCAGTTTGCCATTTTTTGTCTTTTGAGTGGTGTATTTAGTCCATTGACGTTCAGGGTGATTATTGAAATGTGAGAGTTTATCTCTGTGATGAGGCTCTTATAAGGCTGTTTTTTTGTTTTTTTACTTTTGCATTGATATATGTGTGTTTTAAATTTTTCTCATGTTTTTTGTGCTCTTTTGGTTTTATGTTTTCCTGTACTTTTGTGAACTACATGGTCATTCTTTTTTTCTTTTCTTCTGTGCTTAATATCTTCTTGAGCATCACTTGTGCAGCTTGCCTGGAGGCAGCATAATCTCTTGGGACTTGGATGTCTCTGAAGGATCTTAATTCTCCATCACTGATGAAACTGAGCTTGGCTGGGTAGTAAATTCTTGGTTGAAATTGTTTATTTTTGAGGACTTTGAAAATTGTACTCCATTCTCTTCTAGGTTGTAGTGTTTCTTCCAATAAATACTGCTGTTTTGTTTGTTTGTTTGTTTGTTTGTTTGTTTGTCTTCCCCAGTAGTTTGACCTTTCTTTCTCTCCGCCTTTATGACTTTTTCTTTTATACCAACTTTGTGCAGACAAATTACTATGTGTAATCCCTATGTCTAGGGGTTGGTTTTCTCATTTGATGTCTTATGAGGTTACTCTGAATCTCTTGTGCTTGGATGGTTGCATGTCTGGTGAGATGAGGATAGTTTTCTTGGATAACCTCCTGGAATACTTGTTCTAAGATGTTCTCCATTTCTCTTTCTGTTTCTGGGATATCAATCAGGTTTAAATTCGGCTTCTCATTATAATTACACAGCTCTTGGAGGCTTTGTTCTTTTTTTCTGAGTTTTCTTTCTATATTTTTGACAGATTGGATTAATTCTATATTTTGGTCTTCAGGCTCTGAGATTTATTCTTCTGCTTGGTTAATTCTTCTTTTCATGTTTGTCAGCTTATTTATTTCCTGGATGAAGTTTTTATGGTCAGCATTTCTGTTACAGGTTCTTTCAGTGTTCCATCTTTTCTTCCCTGAGTCATATTCACTCTTTCCATGTTTCCTAATCCCTGTGTTATTCTGGGGCTGATTATTGGTGGTATCCATTGTTTAGACTCTGAGATCTAATTTTTCAGAGACCTAATTTTTCAGGTGTTGTCACTTTTATACACTGGGAGTTATCTGTGTTCTTCTGTTGATTTTTCCTCATTTGTGTTAGATCTCTCTCTTTTCTACTTAATTCCATTATTCAATGGTGGTGGGAGGAACTTTCACTTCTCTTGTTTGCTTAGCCCTCTATTCTTCCTTTATCAGGGCCTCCAAATTAGTTCTAATTTGAAACAGGGCTGAGGGTGGGAAACAAAGTTGCCTCTTGTAGTTTTAAGAGTCAAATTAGGTAGAGGATGGGAAGATGGGATTCAGAAATTACTTGCAAGTCGCAATGTTCACTGACTGGGATATAGGTTCCCTGAGACCCGATACCTACCTCCACCCTATATGATGATGCACTGGATATATATGTGTACCCCCAAGTCCAAGATAAAGTAGCAACAATAAGGAGAACAGAGAAAAGTAGAATTTAATAGAATGGAAAAAATAATTTAAAAAATTGAAAAACAAAGAAAAACAAAATAAGATAAAAACAAAAACAAACAGAAAAAAACACTAAAAACAGGAAAACTGAAAACACACACACATGTACACACACACAAAAAATAAAATAAAAGAAGTAGAATGTGGGGGGAACACAAATCGAACCCTCACACACACATTCACACACACTAAACCAAAACAAAAGAACAAAAAGGAATAACCAAAATATGAGTGGTGAAACACTCACAAACATACAGAAAACAAAAATGAAAGAAGAAAGAAAAAAAGGGTGGGGGAATGCAAATTGAACTCTTACACACATATTCATACATAAACACTAAACAAAAACAAATGAAGAAGAACAGCAAAAGCAAAAAAGAAAGAGATAAAAAATGAACATTTAAATACATACACAGAAAAAAGATGAAGAGAAAAAAATGTAAAATTTTCTGAGCACAAAGTGTCCTCTTTTGGTACGTTCTATAATTATTCTCTGCTGCTCACAGGTAAGTTCTGTAATTATTCTCTGCTGCTCACAGGTAAGCTCTTCAGGGCTGTGGGGTTGTTCACAATCTACCCAGCACACAGCCCATGGGAGGTGGAGGCGATGGTAGAGATGGGTGGGGTGTCGGTCCTCCCCTCCTGCTTTCATATGGTCAGGAGGAATATCCTCCGATAGGGAGGTGCAGAATTGTCTACTCCCCCAGTGTTGGTGGCTAGTGCCCTAGCCAGGCTTATCCCAGAGTAGAATTCTCATAGCATGGCTGCCATCCAGGCTCCACCTGGGTTACTTCCTCTCAGTTGTGTCCCAGCTATGTGGGTCTGACATGCAGAGGATTGCTAGGGAGGAGGTTGGGTCAGCCAGGGGCTCACTGCTGATATCTTGGGGGAGTCTTCCTCATCTTTTTCATCTTGTACCCTTTGTCCCTTGGCTTGGTTAGGGTAGGGGATGGGGCATCTGAAACTGCGCTCATCCTGTCCCTCTAAAGTTTGGGTGTTTGGGATATTCCCTCTGGTTATGATTAACCCTGGAGTAGTTAACCCACCAATCACAGAGAGCAGATCTGTTGCTCCATAGTGAGCTGCTGGAGCACTTCCCTACCCTGCTTTCAAGATGGCAGTGAGGTGCCTGTTTTGTCTTCTCCAGTAGGACTCTGCCTCTGGCTCCCTCATTGAGCTCTTCCCATGGCCCTTGCTGCCAGTGCCCATTTTGGTGCTGTAGTGGTGGGGCAGAGTTGGAGTCAATGCTGCAGTCACTCCTGGTAGCTTCTTTTCAGCAAGGGCTTTGTTGATTTTAGAAAATGGCACTTGGCTTCTGTGCCCTGAGAAGCACTAGGGTCCAAGCAGAGCAGCTGAAGCAACAGCCACTTCACCAGAGAGCCCTGGCTACTTGCTCCCTAGTCCCCACTCAGCCAGCCACACACATGGCCAATTATTCACAGACACACACTCAAATTCATCCATACACTTACTCACACAGGGAATGTACCGTCCAACTGGCTCAACCACCATCTTCCCCAAGAATCTTTGCCTCCTTAGCTCAGCAAAATAGCCTCTATGCTGGAACTCCTCTTCCACTCAGAGATATTAATAGTAACAAGTCTTTGAATAGAAAACCACTGTGATCATAGAGTGATTGTAAGTTTATATTGTGTATTTCCCTTTTCTCATAGTAAGGCTTGAAAACAGGTGTTTCATATATACATATATTGTGCATTTCTAAGTTATTTTCTGTGGGAAAACAATTCAATATAAATTTATCTGTAATGTACTCTAGATTTACCTACTATATTTACTTTTGAAAGGTTAAAATCCCTGTAATCATATTTAGTTATATTTTTAATTTTGCCACCTATTCTTACTTTAGATTTAACTTCTTTGGAGTTTATGTTTACAATCCAGCACAAATGAATCTAAGTTCTTTATATAAATTATCTTGTTTAATTCTCACTCTGTGAGATAGGTATGATCTTGAGTTGTAAAGTGCAATTGCATATGTTCACATAACTGCTAAATGATAGAAACATAATCCTGACTATAGTCTGTGTTCTTAGCTGTGCATTCTTCCTTAAAAAGCATATAATGTTTGCCAAAGAAATACAAATGTTTATTTTCTTTAACAGCTAACCAATAAATAAAACAGCCACTGATTTGTGATTTTTTTTTCTAAATTTATGATGTCTTTCTAAATGATTTTATTTATTTTCGGTAGATCTCACAAGTGCCATAAAATGGTTTGATGCATGTTATTCTCTCCGTGAGTTGTCTCTCACTGGGAACCCACTTCTACAAGACATAAACTGGAGGTAAGGAAGCATTGTTACACCCCATGGACATCCTTTATTATGTTGCAGAAAACACAGCTTGATAAAAATTGTTTCATGAATAATAATTTAGTTGGGGAAAATTAATTTAAAAATTTCAAAGTTATTCAAAAAGGAAAAGGTTTTGTAAAAATAGTTTTAAAAATATCTTCAGCCTAAAATAATTGTTTTGCACATGTATGAACTAAAATAAATAAAATCATAATTGTGACCCAATTGACTGACAATTTTACTGTGATATATTAACTTGGGATTTGCATTTATAGAAAATACATTTGTTGAGAATTATTTTTTGTGAGTCATCTAAATCAGCAGTCTCCAGCCTTTCTGGGATCAAGGACTAGTTTGATGGAAAACAATTTTTCCACAGGTGGAGGGAGAAGGAATATGCAGTCAAACCTTACTGCTATTGTTCATCTGTATTTGCAGCCACTCCCTCATCACCACCTCAGATCATCGGGCATTAGATTCTCAAAAGGAGGGCACAACCTGGATCCCTTTCATTTGCAGTTCACAATAGGGTTTGCACTTCTATGAGAATCTAATGCCGCTGCTGATCTAACAGCAGGTGGATTTCAGGTGGTAATGCATGCAATGGAGAGCAATTATAAATACAAATGAAGTTTCATTGGATCATCAGCCGCTCAACTCCTGCCTTGTGGCCTAGTTCCTAATAGCCATGGTCTTGGACTGGTCTCTGGGTTGGGAGTTGGTGATTCCTGATCTAAATCACACAGCTTACTATTTAAATTGTTTCCTTCCTGACAGTAATTTGGTTTTATTTTCTTAAAATAAAAAGTTGGAGTTTGTTAAAAAGTTTGTGTTGTAAGCATAAATGAAGTTATGCCTCTCTTTAGAATAGTGTAGTGTTTAGATGTAAAGCAAGAAAATATTTTTTTGTGTTAAAAATACAAATAATTTCAAAATAAAATTACAAAATTATTTCATAGTTTTTATCAAAGGATCTTCTTTAAAAATTTTTATTGCTCATAATATAACACTATTTCCCCCAGGTTGACCAGCATTTTCTTTTTGATAGTTATTGTGTGATAACTTACATGTATTTCATAACTTTTGTTTATAAGTATGAATATTTTGTAAAAACAACTACAATCAAGATATTGAACATTTTTATCACCTAAAAGATTCATCTCAATCCCTTCTGCAGTCATTCCACTCCTCTCATACTTTAGAAACAAGTCTTCTGTCTTATGGTTATCATTGTTTCTGGTGAAAAGCCTGTTGATATTCTTTTCTTTGTTTCTCAGTCTTTGAATCAGATTTTAAGATTTGCCCTTCATCACTGGTTTACAGTAATTTGGTTGTAATGCGCTTTGGTACAGTTTTATTTAGGTTTTCTCTACTAAGGATTTATGGAACCTCTTGGATCTGTAGATGTATACGTTTCATAAAATTTGGCCATTATTTTTTAGATTTTCTTTTCTGTTTTTTTAAACTAATGATTCTGTTCTACTAGCATTTCAATTATTATGTGACCACTTGAATTATTCCAGAAGTTGCTGCTGCTCTATTATTTTACTTATTTTTATTCTTTCTGTGCTTCACTCCAAATAGTTTCTATTGCTATGTTTTCAGGTTCTTTGATTTTTTTTCCCTCAAGTATCTACTCTAATGTTAATCCCATCTTGATAATTTTTTTTCATTTCAGATTGAGGATATGTTTTTCATCTATAAAAACTTCATTTATATCTTTTTAACATTTTAAATCCCTCTCCTAATTATGCTCATATTTTCTGTAATTTTCTTTGACACATGAGAACTATTTACAAAAGCTATTTTAATTTACATACTCATATTGCGTTTTTTTTTTTTGAGTTGGAGTCTCACTCTGTCGCCCAGATGGGAGTGCAGTGACCGCTCCCGGCCACCGCAGCCTCGACCTGCTGGACTCTGGCGATCCTTCCGCCTCAGCCTTCCAAGTAGCCGGAATTACAGGCATGCGCTACCACGCCCAGCTGATTTTTTGATTTATTGTAGAGATGAGGTCTCGCTGCCCAGGCAGGTCTCGAACCTGCGGGCTCAGGCAATCCATTCACCTCAGCCTCCCAAAGGCACGGGATTACAGGCTGAGCCACCGAGCCCGGCTTCTCATATTGTGTTTAATCCTCATATAGACTCCTTCCTTCCCCCTGCCAACATATACAAATACAGCTTCTTTTCTGTATTTTTCCCCCACAAAGTCCAGCCTCAGAGTTAAGAGTGCAGATACTGGAGTCAGACTGCAGTTATTGTTTCCCATCTCTTCCACTTGCTAGCTATGTAACTTTGGGCAAGTTATTTAGCCTTTTTGCAACTGATTTCCCTCAACTTTGAAATGGGGATACTAGGTTATGTACATATTCCATTAGACATATTGTATGGGTTAAATAACTACAATGTTGAGGACAAAGCCAGTGCTCTATTTATGTTTATAATAATTATTTATTTCATGGTTATCATTTCTATGCATACATTTTATATCCTTATCATGACTATAGAAATGTCTTGAAATTAGGGGTTACATTAAAATTTCCTTTGTAATGTCTAACATGTTAGGACACTTGACAGTATATATAGTAGGAGTCCACTAAATATCTAGTGAATGAATAAGAACTCATATATAGTTAGGTAGATAAATGTAGTCATGAAGAACAGTAGACTTTCGGGTGCTTACTATGTTCTAGGAAGTGTTCTTAACAAATTATGTGTATTATACAATTCATTCTCATTACCATCCCATGGGATAATTATCCTCATTTTACCACTTAGGATTTAGAGACATAGAAATATTAAGTTACTTGTCCAGGGTTACATAGTGTGAAACAGGGATAGGATGTCTGTTTAAAAACACCACAGTAGTTTCCAAACTTTAGTGTGAATCAGAGTAACTCAAAGGGCTTGTTAAAACACATATTACTGTGCACCATTTCCAAGTTTCTGACTCAGTGATCTAGATATTGTCAAAATTTTGCATTTCTAACAAGTTTTCAGGTAATAATGAATGGTGTTTGTCAGGGGATACACTTTGAGAACCATTCTACTAAGTTATACACTTTCCCATTTGCTTCACATCTTAAAGTACACTTGGAATTTACATTTCTAAACTGTAAGTTGACAAATTCTGTTCTAAAATACATAGAAACGTGCCGGGCTTTTCCTAAGAAACAGAATGTGATACTAGAAACTTATGTGGAAGCTGAACTTTAAATAAGAAAGAAAGAAAAATAAACTTTCTGGGCAAAGATAATAACTCATCTGTAATATACAAGTTATCAATAAGTAGTAAATTACACAGATGTGTTTGGCTTGGTAAAAATGTTGGGATTTTCTTAACCAAAGACTAATTAAAAAAACCCAGAAAACCAATTCACTTGAAGACAAAGTGTCAGAGGTTTGCTGTGACCTCAGACAAGAGTAGGAACAGTCACCAGGCATTGCTAGCTTGTTCTATAGGGGGATTAGGTCAGATATAGCAATATTAAACATAACCAGACTTTCAATGCTTCTGTAAGATATTTCATACTTCTCTGAAGTTGACACAGCCAAGGTTTTCCTGGACATGGCCTCACTTTGCAGGGAAACCAAATCAGGGCAAAGGCAACTGCTTCTGCCAGTATTTCTTGTTTACATCTGATGTGGGTTCAGCCTGTTTAATTTAAGCAGACTCAGTAGTGGAGTTGCTAATCAGAACTTGGACACAAACTCTGGAGCATGAAGAAGAGTACCAGCACAGTCCCTTGTATGTGATAGATACCCCAAAATATTTGTTGAAGAGCTACATTACAGTACTTAATAACATTATAAAGTATAAACCTTGAAGAAATGCATGTTTGTACTCCCCTAATTTTTCTATTGAATTTATTTAATTTTACTTTAGCAATTAGAAATTGTTATTCCTTATAAATCAACAACTGGTGTTATGGCAAATTCACGGTAATTATCAATATCAAGAGTTCTGAAACTGGAATTTTGAACTTCCAAAGTACTGTAGCAGTTTTCAGATTCCCTGTTTCCTGAGAAACTGATCTCTAGGATATACAACTAGAGGAAATGTCTACTCTTAATGTCAAATCATAAAGTAATCAGAAATTGCAACTGCATGTGGAGAAAAGGGAAGATTTTTATACACTGTTGTTGGGAATGTAAATTAGTACAACCACTATGGAAAACGGTATGGAGATGACTCAAAGAACTAAAAGAAGATTTACCATTTGATCCAGCAATTCCACTACTAGGTATCTACCCTAAGGCATAGAGGGTGTTGTGTAACAAAGACACCTGCAGCTGCATGTTCATCACAGCACAATTCACAATATTTAAAGGATTTGTGTGTGTGTGTGAAAAGACCACCTGAATATATTTCTAGACCTTTTGCCTGCTGGATGAAGGACTTCCTCATTTGGAATAAAGGCAATCAAGATCTCTGTTTAGCTGTACTTAAGTTCTGGGGCTGTGCTTCTCTTACATTGGGGCTTAAAGCACTACTAATCCCTAAACTTGAGGTCCTCATTTTTAGAAGCCAGATGTTACGGTGAAGCTTCTTATACTAAAAGAAGAGTATAATGATATTATTTATAATGAAAATATCTGATAAGCTATGTCTTCGATAAATATTTTAATTTTTCTAGTAACTATATGGGCCAAGTCTGTGTGACTAATAAAAATCATTAGTTTTGCTCATTACTCAGAGCAAGCTCTTTAAATATCATGATTTTTGTATTAGGTATTGTTGGGCAAGAAGGACATTAATTCTCTTACTAATCTGGTGTCATTTTCCATCCAAACAACTAGCACATTGCAAGTAACAATAACTAAAAACAAATTTAATGTCCCAAATAAAGTTCACATGTATTTATTTTTTATATTCCTTGCATAGAGTATAAATATTTTTTTATTAAATAAAACGTGTGTGGTAAAATAAATTAATATAAATAATTATAAATTTATTAAGGTAAATATCCACATTTTACTGCTTTTTCTAA